CTTCTGATTCTGTGTCTCCCTCTCTCTCTGCCCCTCCCCCGTTCATGCTCTGTCTCTCTCTGTCCCAAAAATAAATAAACGTTGAAAAAAAAATGTTAAAAAATAAAATTTGTATCCTAGCTTTCACTGTGTCTTATGAATTTGGTTCATGTGAATCAAATGGGTTTTGACTCACGCCAAGTCTGATGGGTTCTGAGGTCATGTCTAGACTAAATGGGAGAGTTGAGTGACTGCTAAAAAAGGGCTATGAGGGTAAACCACGGGTGCAAGGAGAAAGTGAAAGCTTGTGTGCCATGCATAGGCCATTCCAGTTCCTAAACCTATGGTGAAGTGAAAAAAAATCAAAAGCTAAAAGATCAGACATGAATCCTCAGTTGACCCACCAGTGTTCAGTCATTCCAGAAGATTCAACTACATAATTCCTTAACTCCAGTGACAGCTATAGTGACTCCTTATTCTAAATAATTATAGACGTGATAGAGTTGTATACTCACTATATGCGCACTAGAATGAAATCCTACAGTAGAAAGTAAACTCCGTAAAGAACATTGTATATTTTATTCACTCCTGTATCCTTGGGGCTTAGAACACAATAGCATCTGGTGCCCAATAGGTATTTAATACATTTGTGGGATGAATGAATGGTAGAATGAATGAAAAGGTCACTGAACTTGGAAATCAACCAAGGTTGGTTGGCTTAAGCCCTGGCTCTGCCACTCACTAGACTTGTGACTTGGACAAGGAAAACTATTTACTCTCTCTGAGCCTCACTTTTATCATCTGAAAAATGGCCTAACACCTACCTAGCAGGGCTGTGGTGAGGATGAAATAGGATAACATAGGGAAAATGGCCTGGTGGAGGGCTTCAAGAAGAAATAAATGCTAAGTAAATGTTAGTTTAATCTCATCTAAATCTAATAGTTCCCCTAAAAAAACACTAGCGAACAGAAATGGAAAAGTTTTCTTCTCTTTGTTTATCACAATTAAACGAATGTCCAAGCAAATTAGTTTAGGAGTAACTGCTGGGAATATTAAGGATAATTAAAGCTAAGCAGGGATCTAAGACAAGCTTAGATCTTCCAAAACCTGGAGGATTATAAAACATGCTACCCATAGATGGAAAACAAGAAAACGCAAGTTTGTTCCAATGTCACTAAACATGAATCTGAGGGAGGCCAAAGCCTTTGGAATTATTGCACATACCTGTATGTCTTTAGGTGGTATTTTCTATCTCTTATCATGTGAGGTGCTCGAGAGAGAATGGCATTTCGTAAAATTTTTCCAGCCCTGAGGATCTTCTCTGAAGGAACCTACATTTTAATCAGGTGAAAGGAGGGAAAGAGGAAGAGGGAGAATTTATAGAAGGAAAACAAACCAGATGAATACTGAAATCACTTTCTGACTCTGGCTTGAAAAATACAACACATTCACATATTTACATTGTTCACTTGTATGACATGTCCCTTTTATTTGAGAACTGATACACACTGAATAGTCGTTATGTCTAGAAAATGCACCCGAGGTCTCCTGATGTGATGCTCTGACATACTGGCCGCCTCCAGTGGTTACCTAAGAAGTTGGCTCTGAAGGTTCATCAACCCACCTACATCCCATTACCTTGGTAATGGTGTTAGCAGGACGAAGAGGAACGTGAGGTTCAATGAGAGGTGTCTGAAAAATAAAATGTTAAGGCAAAAGAAAATTAAACAAAAAGTACACTAAAGAAAATTATGGGTTGGGGGATAATAAGAAACATCCATTTTTATAAAACTCAAAATAGAATTAAAAAAAAAAAACAAGAGATAAAATCTGCCTGAATAACTTGAATGCAGATGCATTCAAAGGGCAAAATTAGACCTTCAATTTGCCAAAATTTAAATATAAATTATTAAAAATGAAAAAAACCAAACAGATAGGAATGATTAGATGTTTGCAGGCTTAATGAGAAGGGAATCAATATCTACTCAAAGCATAACAAACATCAGAGCAGAAGAAAAAGCAAAACAAGATAAACATGTATGGAGATTAAAATGACCTATCTCGGGAGATAGGGATAAAGTACTGAATTAGAATGGAAATGAGCAATTTCATCCTCTGTCATGTAGTTAAGATTCTTTTCCCTCAATTTGTATTTTTGGAAAAAAAGTTGTAATTTCTAAATGATACTTCTTGGTGGTTTTATGTACTCAAGTTCCGAGGACCCACTGGGGCAGCTAGGGCACCATCTCTTTCATTTGCAAAGTGGTATACAGTTTTCAGGATTCCGTGACTGAAAGAACAGCTCTAGGATACAGATTAAGCTGCCACTATTATCCACATTCTTCAGATGAAGGTGCTGAATTGCAATCCCAGGAAAATGACTTGCTACACAGCTACACAGATAGGTCCCTTAGTCCTGCCAAACCCTTCCCTCTAGTTCTCTGTGATGTCTGGCAATGGCATTTCCAAACGGAAGAGAAAGTTACGTACAGTTAAAGATGGTGGTAGGACCATTAACACAATGCTATTTATGTCACTTCCAGAAGGTTTCAAATGATGATAGGTTTAGTTATGAGATTGTGATAGGCAGAAATAATGCCTCCCCCTCCAAAAGACGTCCATATCCTTATCTCCAGAACCTGTGATTATATTAGATTACGTGGCAAAAGGGATTCTGTAGATGTGGTTAAGTTAAGGCTCAAAATAGGGAGATTATCCTGGTGTTTCCTGGTGGGCCCAGTGTGATCATATGAGCTCTTAAAAGATGGAAGAGGGAGGGGAAAGCATTAGAACCAGAGAGACAGCAGTGTGAGTTGGACTTGGCCTGATTTTGCTGACTCTGCTGATTGAAGAGACCAAGAGCCAAGGATGGAAGGCAGCTTCTAGAAGATGGAAAAGGCGAAGCAATATATGGCTTTTCCCCTAGAACCTCCAGAAGGACTTGGCTGCCAACACCTTCATTGTTAGCCCAGTGAGACCCATTTCAGACTTCTAACCTACAGCATTGTAAAATTATTAATTTGTGTTGTTTTAAGCCACTAACCCTGTGGTAATTTGTTATAGCAGTAAAAAAACAAAAAGCAAAAAACTAATATGGACATTATTATACTTTATAATGAAAACTCTACTTTTTGCAAACTGAAGCCATTACACTGAAAATGAATCGGTAGATTTTCCCTCTAGTCCTAATTTAAAAAATACAACCAATGGAGGAAATAAAACTCAATATTAATTTAAAATACTTTATGTACCTAAATATAAATATGCATGTATAAACATATACCTTCCTTTTTATCAACAATAAATTTCAGATGAGTTGCTGCTTTGGACATTATAATAGAATTAAGGAAACAAGGGACAGAATGGAAAGCTTTAAGAAAAGCATAGGTGAGATGCAGATTTACTTAGAATGAATGAAATCTCACTGACTTACTTAAACATTGTCATCACCTCCCTGGCATCAAGGAGACTTTTTGCTCCCTCTTGAAATCACTAGAGCACAGGTGTCAAGCAATATTATAGTATTTAAGCAGCATAATGTTTACAACCAGCAAAGAATCTAAAATTTTTTTTTTCAACGTTTATTTATTTTTGGGACAGAGAGAGACAGAGCATGAACGGGGGAGGGGCAGAGAGAGGGAGACATAGAATCGGAAACAGGCTCCAGGCTCTGAGCCATCAGCCCAGAGCCTGACGCGGGGCTCGAACTCACGGACCGCGAGATGGTGGCCTGGCTGAAGCCGGACGCTTAACCGACTGCACCACCCAGGCGCCCCCAACCAGCAAAGAATCTAGACCAAGGAACGTCAGCGTGGTCCAATTCAACAGGAGCTTTAAACAGAGACTGACTTTGCCCGGAAATAGCCCACATTCCCTTAGGGCAGACCTCTAGATGGGAGAGCTACCGTGCCCTGTGTTTGTACTACTTCCTCAAAGAAGACAGAGCTGTGTGATCCCAAGTCACCTGAAAAAATGTTCAAAAGCACCAGACCAGCATGCATCAGGGCTCTGGAAATGTGTGCAGTTAAAACATGCTGATTATTTCCGAGTTGTGAGTTCCCAGCAGTCATGCGTCCCACCTCTTTACATTGCATGGGTTGGTTTATATGTCCAGGACTATGCCTGGTTGTATATGTAAATTGTAGAAGCTTCTGGTTATTCTTGAAGATAATAGAAACCCATTTCTTGTTCCCGTCTTAGAAGAGGTACAGGCATACGTGGTCTAGAGTAGATGGATGTGAGATTAGCTTCTGACGCGATCTTTTCTTCCCTAGGAAAAAATTGACTTTCCTTTGCAGTAGTATTTGAGAGGCTGGCTGGGCTAGAGGTCAAGAAGATGCCCATGCTTGAGGACTACTGATGAGTATTCATTCTTTGATGGTGCAATGAAACATTATTTGAAGAGTGAATCTTTTCATTTGTTTCTACAGAGATGGCTATATTTGAACAAAATGCTAAAAATGGTCCCTAGGTCAGTTAATCTGGATAGTTCACTTTTTGATTCCTTTGAAAGTATTACGAAAGCAAAGGAACCATCAGGCTGCAACCAGAATTGTTCCTTTGATTTGTAACTTCTGAAGAGGTAAAATGTAGGCAACATTGCCATTCAGCCTCATAATCCTGGTACCAGTTCCAGGACCAAGAGGCTATTTAATCTGTTGAAAGGCAGCGTTCTCAGAACCTTCCTTGGCTCAAAGATTTTAGGTTTAGGGGTAATGCGATGAATGGATGCTTTGAGAAGGGGACAGTCTTTTTATTTAAATAAAACCTCCAAGGAACACATGCAGGGTGAAAGCAGGGAAAGTTTTATTTTGGGGGAATAAAAATTTGTCTTTGAAAGGGAAACTATATCCAGTTAGGCAAGAGTCCATGTTGTAAGAACTACAGTGGTGTCTAGCAGCCATAGGTGGTGAGACAGAGGGCATCTGTGACAGGCAGACTGGGTCCCTGAGAAACAAAATCATTGTCCAATGCCTGCTCAGAGACCCCTCCATTATGAGTATGGCTTTATTGCTTTTGTATCTGCTTATCTCCTTTTTGGGTTCCCTTAGCTTTCAAAGTAAAGCTCCTTTTAGGAATTTCACCTTAGCTGTGCCTTAGAGAAATGAGGAAAGGAATGTCATTTCACAAATGATTAGATTAAATGGGGGAGGGAAAAAAGCAGGATAATAATATTGGTGAGAATTAAAACAAGAAAAGCAGCCCTAAGGGCAAGACTAAGCATTTCCTGTGTCAGGCTTTTTATACACGCTGTCTACACATGCACCTTTATATCTGTTATCTCATTCTTTATCGAGAACTAGAGCCAGAGAAATATAGGGACTGAGTTCATTCAGCTAATACCTGGAAGAGCTGGGGGTTGAATCCGGGTCTATCCCACTCCAGTATCTATGCTGCAGACACAACAACCCCATACCACCTGCATTTTTCTTTGAGAGACATTTTTGCTCACCCTATGGATGAGTTAATGTTCTGCTTACTTCAAGTCCATTGAGAAAAGTGCATCTAAGCCCTTCTAAGTTCTCAGGTATCACACTTGACCTTAAGAATCTTTAGCAATAAGTATTCACTGTGACCCACTGAGATGACACATCAGCACTGATGCATCATGCTTGGTCTGAATTAACTTTTTAAAAAGCGTGTTTGTTACGATAGAACATTTGGTATTGAGGAGGAGCTGTCCCACCAGGGCTAAGACAAATATTCCAAGGACATGGGTAGCAGTCAAAGGGTAAGCAGGATAATGAAGCCACTCAATACTTCTCGCAGGGGTAATTTAATGCTGGGAACTGGCTTTATGGATGGTGGAGGACCTGCAAAGGCAAATGGGTAACAGAGATGCCAAATCCAGATGTCAGCAGAGCAGGAAGCCCTCCAGTGGGGGACACAGGGACGGGAGACTGAATTGGGCATCCTGGCAGAAGCTGGAACCCCGGGGGGGCCCCAGGTCCTAGCTGTAGAGGTGCTGCTAGGGATGCTGCCCGCCCTCCCAGGGCCAAGAGGGAGGCAAGAACCCTCTTGCTTTCAATCTCCCTCCAACCAGGGGCCAGAGAAGTAAGGAAAAGAATTTCACTTATAAATGATTAAGTTACACAGAAGAGAGAAAAAGGTAGCATGGTGGTATTAGTGAGATGATCCAAGTAAGAAAACCAGTCCTAAAAGCAGAGCTGTGGCCAGAGGAGCCTGGGAAATACTCTCTGCAGAAGTTGGTCTCCTTGTGATACACAGCTGAGTGCAGGAAGGGCAAGAACTACTTTAAGGACAAGCAGACCCAGGACCTGCACAGCAGGGTGGTGGCAGTGGCCACAGAGTGGGGACAGGGCTGCCACATGCCAGTCCTGTCACCCTTTCATGATTCCACGTCCTCCCGGGCATTCTTCCTGTTGCACCACGGGCAAGGAAGGTGGACAGTGAGCTAGCAGGGTGAGGCTTCATTAATGCCTCTTTGGTGTGTTTCCTAGGGCTGCCCAATGTTTTGTCCTATAGCCAGAAAACACACATCACAAATAAGCCCAAAAAGGAACAGACCCCTCCCTGATTAAACTGCATACATTTCAGCACATCAATCATGTGCTGAGGATAAAAATTCTTCTTCCCCACCTGGGCATGAAAGAATCCAAATTGGTCTGTGAAAATATGATCCTAAAAAGCTAGGCAGAGAGAACAGATAAAGGCAGAGGTATTCAGCTTTC